CAACAAGCGGGTTTGGCCTAGGGAATTTTAGTGGGGTTTTTAAGGGTAATTTTAACGATTGGCCTTTACGAATATTTTCTTTTAATTTGGTTTTAATATGGATATTTATTGTAATGTTGTTTTATAAGGCTGTTAGCCGCCCTGAGTCCGGTGAGGAGAAGGGCGGGATACAAATTAAATTATAAATAAATAAAATAAATAAATAAAAAATAAATTTATTAGTATTTTTTTAAAAAGTTTATATTTACCTTGCAGTCTTACTTTCTAGAGCAGATGACTCATCAAAAATAGAGAAAGGTATAGAATTCACAGCCGAAGAGATCTCAGCATCTGAAAGATAAGTTGTTGAGTATTATGGTGGCCAGCTTAATATTTTCTAGAGGCCAAGTACATTAACAATATAATTGTCAAGAGCATTTTAATATCCTATCTCTGCATTCATTGACTGTATAAACTTTTTCTGAAACTGGCAAGGGCTCACAAGCAGATTGATTATAGTGAAGAGAATTACATCCCACTTAAAAAAAACTTTCTACACAACTCTCATCCATTATAATTGTTGGCAATTGTCAGTCCTCCAGCAGAACAAATTAATACAGGGATCTAGAAGTTTATATCTGAATAGGCTCAAATCCCCACTCATAATCAAGTTCATGTGCCTAAACACCGTAACAGTCTCAGTCTAACCTATTTAATTGCTATGAAGAAACCATATAGGAAGTAAGGCAGGTAATCCTCCCTTAGCAACCATGATTGTGACTAGAAGTTTGGTTATTAAGCAGAAAATCATGCAACTACGACAGACCTTACTTCCTCTTCAATTGTTAAACGAAGCAGTGCAGTTGCAATGCAAGCAATCACGTGAGTCCAACGTATGATTTTATTTTCACGGGTCTACATTCTGCAGTGACATTGTTTGCCACAAGTGATTGTGAAGTGCACAAATGGTGATCATATGACCAAGAGGCAATGCAATGGCTGTAAATGCACTCAGGTCATAAAGCGTCCAAATATGAGATCATCGGATACTGTGATGGCTATAAATGTAATAATTGGTTGTAATTTTTTCACTGTTTTAACTTCAAATGGTTGCTGCACGAGGATTGCCTGTGTGTAAATCTCTCTCCTAGGCAGAGTGAGATATAATTACCGCCGCTGCTGCGCGAGCTGCACTGGCTGCCTGTGGTCTTCCGAGTGCGCTTCAAGGTGCTGATTATCACCTTTAAAGCGCGCCATGGCATCGGACCTGGTTACCTCCAAGACCGCCTTCTGCCACAGATTACCTCCCACCGGCCGATACGCTCCCACAGAGAGGGCCTCCTCAGGGTGCCGCCAACCAGACAGTGTCGNGAAATGGAAATTTTGGAAGAACACAGCATTTCCCACTATTTTATTTTTAGAAAAAAATCCATACCACAAACTGTTACCTGGCTTTTCTACTAAAGGTCTTTAACAATGTCATTATGTGATAAGTAAGAGTTTTTCTGCCATTTTCTCTATCTTCATAAGCTTTAAAGAGACCTTTCAGCAGCTGCCAACTGCTGTTTGTACTTTGTTCTAGTCTTTTGTGTCAACACTTTCTTCAAAGACACCAGTCAGATAAATGTACAGTGTTTTCAAGCAGATTAGACACACAAAGATGATCAAATCCCTTTTCAGATAAAGCATCCACCCAATTCTTCCAGATTCAGCCTCTTTATAAAGGAGCATAGGAAGAGGGGAAAGAAGGAATAGAATGGTTCATAAAACAGATGTTTTATGATGTTGAGATGTTTTCCCATTAGCACTATAACTTTATAAATTTGTATAAATTTACAAATATAATCTGAGATGCTGCATGATACATTTTGGCTTACATAATGGTAAACTAGGTGAGTGGCTGTATAATGGCTACGATGGAAGCAGTATGTCCCTCACTAGAAGTGAAGAATTTCTCTCCCTGCAAAGTAAGCTAATGAAAGAAGCTTAAGTTGCAATTTGATTATTTTCATGCTCTCAGAAAAGAAAAAAAACTAACTCATTTCACCAATGGATAGGAGATTCATATAAAAATATTTCCCATCTTCCCTTTGGTTGGACTCATGGTTTGGATTTTTTTTAAAAAAATCTATAAATATAACTTACCACTGGAGTTTGAATTCTTACACTGATTATTTTCAGCCAGCTCAAAATTGCTATAACAAGGATAGAATGTAAAACAGAAAAGAGGTTAACAAATAGATGTACTAACACTTGTTTATTTAAATGTATGTATGCAAGTAATAGCTTGTTTTAAAATTTTGAAATTCTGAATAGAATTTTGAATCATTGGCTTTTTTTTTTTTAAAAGATCTCTCTCTCTCTCTCTTTCTTCCTCCCTCCAGCAAAGCAATATTTCCATTACCTTTTCATGGAAAAACCCTCTGGAAGGTATCCTTCAACAATTGCTTCAGTATCTAAAACATGTTGCTGTTCAGTTGGGGAACATTTCAAATCCTTCGATGCAGCAGGAAATACGGCTGCAGTCTCTTGTTCCACTTGTTGCTTTGATCATTGAATAAACAAAAGTTTGACTATATTCATCAAGTATAATGCAATTACACAGAAGTTAAATAACAAACTTATGTAAAGCCAAAACAGAATGTTACCTGAGTGCCTGATTTCTGCTTATTGTTTTCCTGCTGCTCTCTCACCACTTTTTCCATTTCTTCAATCTTTTTCTGCAACTCGGCTTTTTTTTGTGCTAAAGCCTGCAATTCTTATATGAAAGAAAAACAAGATAAAATCTTCATAGAAAAAGGGGTGTAGCAAAATCCTACAGAAGTGCACTAAAAAAATTACTGAGACTCCTAGCCTATGCAATATATAACTCCAGCTACTCAGCATCATGACACTAACAACATTCTCTAGATTTTAAAAGAGAAATTCAGAACTAGGATGCCCTGTGTGTAACCCCATTCTAAAACATAATTAAAATAAACGTATGATTTGCTAAAAGACTCCTCTGTCCCAAAATTGTTGTGTGGACAATAAGAAAAGGATTTGCAAGCTAGCATAAATATTCTGGGGTAAAAGATGGGAAAGGAAAATTGGTTATATTCTTTTTTGAATACCCAAATCTTTTAAAATCTTCCATTACTTCTTCTTTAGATAAAGATGGCTCATGCACATTATGATGCATGTCTTGCCACTTATATTTAAAGGCTCATTAGAAAATTAAAATTGCAGCATTCTTACCTCAGCTTAAGAAAAACCTCTACTCTGTGTGTGTGTGGGGGGCGGGAAGAGATCCTTTTAAAAAATATATATTACAATGGTAGGACAGAGATTATTTCAGTTGTAGAATAATCCAAAGGTGCTTTTCAAACCTCTTTCAACCATGATGCCAAATATAGCAACCTTTGAAAATGATCAGTGCATTTCCCCCCATAACTCTTAAAATGTTGACATTTGGCAATTCTGGAAGTTGCTTTGTAATTTTGGATCTAATACCTTCCCTTCTCTTTTTTCTGTAGATTTCATCTCTAATCTCTTCAAAGGAGAACTCCTCTACTCCAGCATATACTCTCTCTTTACAATACATGGGCTGTTCTTTCTTTTCCTGACCATCTTGATGATGGCTTTGCACACGTTGTAGTGGATCCTCCTCTTTTCCAGGTTTTCGGGCACTTAATACACAGTTAATGCTGGATTCTATTTTATGAGGAGTCCTGAAAGAAACATGGAACAAAGAGAGGATGGACCAAGTACAAATAATCAAGGAATTAGGAAGACCAGTTTGTCATAAAAGAAAAGCTACATTAAAAAAACAACCCTCTAATGAAAAACAACTGTTACAAAAACTCGTAAGGGAAATTACATGGTATTTTCCCCAGAAAAATAAAAGTAAGAGCAAGCAGCTTTTGAGGAGATGGTGGAGGGAACCAAGTGTGTAATTTCCAAATTGGCTTTGAAAACCTATACTCCAAATATGAGATGTAACTTCACCATAATCCCAGTTATCATTAGGTTTAGAGTTTTTTTTTTAATCTCTCCCATTTATTCCAGAGGGAAAGAAAAAACTGAAGCTGGTATAGACTGATGCCTCACAAGAGAACAGGGAAGCCCTTGGTTTTAAAAAGTCTGCTAAGCGCTATTGCTACATTTTGCAAGCAATTAAAATGTCAAACAATATTTGGAAATTATTCATATAGCATCCTAACACAATATTGTTCCAGAAACCCTTCCCAGATAGACTACTTTATTCAGCAAACAATATATCCAACAACAATAATACTCAACAGTACAAATAATCAGAAAGAATATTAACAAAGCTAAGAAAAGTAGCTAAGAACAAAACTAACCCTCTAAAATGTTTCTTAAATTGTCTTTTGTCATTCCTTACAAGAAGTAGTTCCATCAAAAAGACACATAAAAATGGCACCAGCTCACTACTGAAAGAGTTAGTTACACCTCATAGAATAAGTAAGAGTAAGTAAATATTTACTGCAAATTGCTCTATTCCTAAATGTTTCAAGGCAAAATTACAGTCACTGGTTTTTAATTTCATTCTTGGGGGCTGGGAAAAAAAAGTATTAAAACATCCAGGCAGTTTCTCCTTTGACCTAGAAATTAGAAGACAATTTTTGTTCTTTGGGATTAACACAAAATAAAATTGTCTTTTCAAAGGAAGATAATTGCCATATACTTTATTCTCAGATGTGTTGAGTAAAATGAAAGAGAGATGGTCAGAGATCCCACAAACAAAGGTCTAATAGCAGAACCCATTAAAGCAGATTTTTAAGAGTACTTTTTCTCTTACTCAGTTATTTAATAGTCTAAGGCAGACAACTTACATGGCCTGCTCCTCTGCAGTCTCTTCAACATACGGAGTAAAACTGGGGGTCGCAGCAGAAGCCATGACACTGGGATCCATATTGATTCGAGGACGCTAAAACAAAAGAAAATCAATTTTTATCTCAATACATCAACTGATGGACTGCTTGGTTTGCAGATATTTTGGACAATATTCTGATTAAGAGACAGCTTCTGTGAGCAAAGCATTACTAGTGCCATGAAAATGTGACATAAGCAGAAAATATTCATAATACCTTGAAAATTTGTGGAGCCTAAATATATTTAAGGGGAAGATTTAGAAGTAACCTATGTAAAGATAGTACTAAGATAATGCGAACCTTTAATAATTAGCTGGGTTTCCCCCCTGAAGAATACATCAAGTTGTTTCATACTGACACATAATATATATTCCAACAGCATTTAGCAATTTTCCTTTCTCTTACCCTGCCTGTGGTCCACGGACCTGCTTTCAATTCATTCTCCTTTGATTTAGTGGGTGGAGGAGCAACCCAAGGCTGTGGTGTAAGTACTGGAAGATCAGGTGTAGAATCTGCAACTCTGTTTTCATCAAACACAGAAAAAGTCGGACGGACTGATGCTTGCTGAGATGGTGGGCATTGGAATCTCTGTCCTTGGCTTGGGACTATAACACATCATTGCATAATTAAGTATCTATGTTTCATTAATAATGGGCAAATTATAATAGCATAATAACAACTTACCTTTTACAGCATTTCCTACACGGCTAATCGGGGCTTTTATGATTTTCTTTCCTCTCCCCTTCAGTTCTGCCAGTGTGGTTCTCTGTGGTTCAGAAACAGAACTGTCCAACTGCTCCTCCTCATCACAATCATTTCCTAGCTCTTCTAAAACCTGTCGAGACACACGGGCTTGGAACTCCCTACAAACAGAAATAGCAAGACTTCCGTTATCATTCCTGCCTTTTTTGCTTCCTAATGAAGCACAGTGTCTGAATCCAAAATAATCTATGCAAAGAGATTTTTTTGCAAAGTACCCCTGCTAGATTCTTCCCAGTGCAGCCATGCAATTATAATTCCTATCCAAAATCTGGTAGCATTTTGTTCAACTATTAAAATGCATAAGCTTTGTGAGCTGAAGTGCATTTCATCGGGGGCATACAATTCCTACTGTGTGATTAAATTGGGCCAAAGTTTTGGAGGGGAGGAAAAGAGGTTGATCATACAGTTGCAGCTTACATGCAAGACAGAATACTTCATCAACTAACTATTGTAATGGGCTAAGAAAATCTGTTCAATTAATTTTCTGGAAAACCCAAGCAATCATCTCTCAATTTTCATCAATTACCTGTGGTGGGACAATAATTTATCCAAAGGCTCTGCTTTACAAAGAATCCCTTCCTGGAATATCACATCAGCTTTCTTGTAATTCCCTCTTGCCTCCAGCTCCTCTGCCCAAGTAATGTAGAGTTGTGCTAGTGAAGTGCCTATTGCCTGGCTATGCAAGTAACTATAAAGATCCAAAGGTTCACTGCAACAGTTCCCCTGAAAAACAGAGACAAGAAAAAAAACAAACATTGTTCATATTATAAACTATTTTTCAAAGAGATACTCAGAATTTCATTAACTTGAAACCTCATATAGCTCTATTTCTAGCCCTTATATCAGTGGTGGCGAACCTATGGCACAGGTGCTAGAGGTGGCACTTGGAGCCCTCTCTGTGGGCACACGCACCGTCTCCCCAGCCCCACCTCCTCCCACGGCCCCCTCCTCACCAGCAGCTCCCCCAGAGGAGAGTTGCCCCTGGGCGCGGCCCACACAAAGCAGCGGAGCCAAGGACATGGTAGCTGGGCAGTGGGGACAAGACTCCACCCTTGCACCCCGTTGCGCGCAGATGATGCTGCGGGGCAGGAGCAGAGAGCATGGCCACTATGGCGCTGCTGGGCTGCCTGGGTGATCTGTGGCGGGCCGTGGAGGTGGTAGGTGGCCCAGTGGGCAGGGCAGAGCGGGGACGGGGTGGCAGTTTTGGGGCACTCGGCCTCTAAAAGGTTCGCCATCACTGCCTTATATCCTCAGATAAAATAGAAGTTACAATAATTCAGAAAACTCTCCAGAAAGATGTTCTGTAATAGATGCAGACCAAAGCCACTGAGAAATGGTTTCACGCGGTAATGGCAGGAGCAGGAAACAAAGCTATTTGGCCATGGAACATGCAAAAAGAAAAGGGACTGGGAAAATCAAAGATCAGTGAGCTGATGGAAAATGCCTTGCTGGGGCATTAATGGCTGAGGTAAAGATTAGTGGAGGGCATACAAGACATACAGAGGATAGGATCGCGGAGTGACATTTCCCCACTTTGCTCTACTCAGGCCACACACACCCTCCAATTTTGTTTTGGCTGAAACCCAGTACAGCAAAATTCTGAGTTTTGATTCTGTTAAATCATGGCTGATCTGAAAATGGTTTGGCAGTTTTCTGAACACAAAAGTGTCATACTTAAAATGTATTTCTCTTCTGTACACATTCTTACTAAAGTGAAACAGAATTAGTTGCTAAAAATCAAGGTTTTTTCTCTCTAAAATCTCTAATTTGAGCTTTCTGGGTCCTAGATTTGTTTTTATTTTGGAGCTTGGATTCCATGGTAATAGATGCATTACCATGCATTTCTGCATGCTGCTTGTGTTCTCTCAGTTTACAAGAATTGAAACAGATGAACAAATGAATTATTAAGTAGTAGGTACAGACATGGGGTCCATTTTAGTTGCCTTGAAATATTATCTAGCAAAGGTATTTGTTCTTTAAAAACAAATACCTTTACTCCACTCTAATTACTTGTCTAACCATATTATCCATTTTATGCAGTTCTAAACTAATATTGTGACATTGAGAATCAAATATGTGGCCAAATTACTTAGGAAATGTGGTTGATTGCCTTTCCTTTTGTGCTTATTACATCTAATAGGGATGGGATTTCTGACTAGATCCAGGAGTTATACATTTATAGTCTATTTTAGTCTTAGAAGTTTAAAATTGTAGTTCACTTTAATACATTTCCTTTCTGGGTAAACTCCCTCCGCAAATTGTTAACCAATTTCAGATATGCTTGAATAAAGCTCATACAGCTAAATCAATTCTAGTCAGGCATCAGGCTTATTTGGGGACAAAACAATATTGTGCTGGTGATTACTGAGAAATGGGCAGAGGAAGCACTGATTCAATGGTCTTTGGTCTATGGATTAATAAGTAAACCTATTAAAGTATGTATACATATGTTCAGTTTAGGTTTATTTTGGTCTTTTAAAATGGTTGTTATAATGCTGTTATTTTGTTAAGGGGAGAAGATTAAGCATGATTTGTTGAATTATTCAGAGACTTCAACACATTACATATTAGTGCAGTACTGCTGCTCTATGAAAACATAACTGGGGACAATTCCCATAAAGAAAGTTCTGTATGAAAATATTGTTTTTCACAGCATATGACAATGTATCATATCTAAATAAAGTTTGCTAATGAACTGGGCACAAAATAATATATTACTTACAAATTTAAGCCAGAGGCTAAGATAACGGGGATCTTGATAATATCTCTGTTGTTCATTCAAAGCTTGAATAGCTCTCTCCAAAACAGCAGAAAGATTGCCCTCTTTACCTCCTTGAGGGAAGGTCTGTTCTGTCCATTTGATATACCTAGTGATATTAAAAATAATTATAAACACAAGGGAAACAAGAATAACTGGATTTGGAAAATAATTTTTTTCATATTTCACTTACAAAAGTTAAGCATACCTGTCCCAGATGTCCAATGGATCATCTCCACAGTAAAAGCGAATTTCAGATTCAAATGCCCTAAAATGATAATCAAATATATGCCTTTTACATTACATATTGTTTTACTTGTTGATTTTTCTTATATTGCTGTATTGGTTTATTGTAAGCTGCTTAGATATAGTAAATGTCTAAAGAACTAGAAAAAATATTTTCAAATTAAGATGGCATGCAAAATTCAGATCTTTAGAGAAGAGAGTGTACATGACACTCTATAAACTGGAAAATTCCTACCAAGAATGCAATGATAATAATGGAAAAGTATAGCTGTAGTGCTTACAAATTATTTGGAAGATGCATCTAATTTAAACTTTCAAGACAATCATAAAAACAAGCCTATTAGGCACCATATGTATCTCCAGAATTGTTTAATCATGAAACATATATTCACACCAGGAACCATAATAAACATCCAGCTATCCTGTTTGTATGTAAAATAAAGCCATGCCTTATTTTAAAGCAAGAATTGTAAATGGGATGCCTACAGTAATGACATAAATTACAGTGTATCACATTCACCTCTTTTGCTGCTGAATAATTGTGTGAGTAGAAACATCTTGCTGAGCCAAAGCTCCTTGCAAAGTAGTCATTATTCGCCCCTGCCTCAGAGGCTGCACATTTTCTTTGCTCAATTCCCATTCATTCCCATCCGAAGAAGCCATGGTAACTTGTGTTGGCCTATTCAATAATATACAGACAGATCCACAGGTAAGTGTTGAAAGATGGGCAATCACAACATGTGTAAAAACAAATGGAAGAGTGAAAGATAGGCTGCTCAGGGTTTTGTAACTATAATTGCACCAGAAATCCAGACATCGCCTTTACAAACGACTCCTCTTCGACAGAAAATTCCACGGCTTTGATTCTTTTATATAACAATTGTTCAGAAGTTGTGTATGTGTACGTTGCAAGTTTACATAAGGATTAAAAGAGCTGGGGATAATGGTATAAATGGATTAGCTTCTCCGGCTTCACGTGTTTCTGTGAACTATTGCTGCAGTTAATTCAATATTTCTAAGAATCTGACTTTGTAATTAAAATAGCGACTGCTGCACGGAGCAGAGAGAGATCATTTTAATTCCCCCTCCCACGGAAATCCCACCATTTATAACGCACAAACACGCGCATTTCTCCTTCACCTGCTTTGGCCCAACACAACCGAGCACAGAGCCTCCAAACTTTCATTCGCCACAGCCGGAACGCAATAACCGAATCCCCCAAGCCTGCTAGGTCGCTTCTTCCACCGTTTGCGTTCAAATATTAACCGCCATCAACCGCAGCGGCTCGTTCGGTCTGATTGGCTCGTTCCTGACTTTCCCGCCTCTGATTGGACAGAAGGACATGGAGATTAAAAGACTTCTGCCGTGTGGCGTAGTAAGCTATGGACGTAACTCTCTGTGGGCGGAGCGGCGCTTTCTTAAGACTGGGACCGCTGTGATTGATTCATTCCCCGCTAGATGGCGATAAGATTATGGTTTAATGAAGAGTGATTTTATTTGCAGCTTCAGCTTTGACCCAGGTGGCCAACGAATCGCAGCCATATAAGTAAACGGCTTTCCTATATTTATTACCCCCTTTCTTTGTCTAAATCGGGGGTTTTCAAACTTGGCCCTTATATGACTTGCGGACTTCAACTCCCAGAATCCCTCAACCAGCATGCCTGGCTGAGGAATTCTGGGAGTTGAAGTCCACAAGTCATAAAAGGGCCAAGTTTGAAGACCCCTGGTCTAAATTGTGAGATTAGTTTGCTAAGAGGAGATAAATTGTTTGCCTTTGTTTCTACATTATAGCTCAGTCAGACCCTACAACACATGACTGCACTTCTGTAATCAATAATATTTTCAAAAATTAAATTCAGACACATGCTGTATAGTAGAACTCACCTAACCCATTTGACATTGTAAAAGGAAGGTTGATTATTTAAAATGGAAAAACAGCAAAGTATTCAAATGTATCTGGATTTCGCAGTTTGCTTTGGTTACATAGTTTATAAAAGTCAAAAGGTGTTCTCTATGTAGGAATGGATTTGGGATGATTCCTATGCCTACTCTTTTTTAAAAAAATGCTAAGGAGAATATTAATCATTTGCAAGAACTTTGGAATTAAAAGCTATATATGAACAAGTGAATAAGACTCTTAACAAGTGTAAGAAATTAAGATGAGACTAATGAAAGTTTATTTTGCAGGAATGGGAAAATTATGGGACATAGCAAAGAATGCTTTAAAAAGTTTTTGCTATCATCCTTAATGTTGTTATTTTATTAATATATTACTCAGTTTTAAAAAGTGTCAGGTGGTATACATCAGAACACTAACAAACACCAGTGCAATATAAGGAATAAAGTTCAGAAATGAGAACAACTCTGGTTAAAGAGTTAGACTAGGCATAGAGATTCTCAGACTATAATCCATCCTTCGCCATATAAATTTACTAGGTGACTTTGAGTCAATTACTTCTCTCAGATCAATCTACATATAGAATTATTGTAGGGAGAAAATGGATAGAAGGAGCATTATGTACATTGTGCCTAAAATGAAAAATAAGATATTATTTTAATAACTTGCTTCTTCCCTCAACCTTTGCAGGCAATCCAGAAGGATACTGAAAGCCACTAAGAGACACAGATACAATTCGATTGAACAAAACATGACTTTGTATTGTGGGAAGTCAGAGCCCCAGAGAAGGAAATATTAAAAGGGCAGAAAAATATATTTTTCCTCAAAAGGACTTTTAAAAGCAGGAGCCAACTCTGCCCCCAAATCTCTCTATCCCAAACAGGAGCCAGCCCTATACAAATGCAAATGTAAAACCATCAAAAAGTTTGTCAAGACAAAGAGACTTAAAATCTGCATACCCCACCCAAACTCTAGGAGTCATTAGCCCCATCATCAGGGAAGCAGGATATGATAATAGGATTAAATCACAGATATCAAGGCCTAGAAAAATACTCAGAAATAGCCTCAAAGTTCATGCCACAGGAACAGGAAACTATTCCAAACAAAAGGCTAGAGGGGGTATAAAAACCCCTTGCCCATGTGCTCAGGCGCCTTTCTCTCCTCTGCTCTTTCCTGAAGAACCATCTTTCTGCTTCTTCAATAAACTGTAACCATCTTCCCAAAGCAGTCGCCATGTTGCTTATTTATCCCCGGCTTGGATGAACCAGGATGAAGACTTTAATCCAACAGTATGTTGTACAGATGCATCCATAGAAACGTAATACTGAAAAGAAATGTATATTGACACCTTATCAGTAACATCACCAGTCTACTGATTGTGCATAAATAAAATACATAATAAATGCTGAAACTAGTGGGGCAGGTAATGGAGCAAACATCTTTATTATATTTTATTTTATATTTTATACTTTGGCCAGTAGGGGCTGCTGTTAAGATACAGAACTTTTTTAAACCAGCTCTGTTCTGCAACAGAGGTACTGCAAGATCTTTCCTTGCTAAATAGTTGATCCTGGTTTTTACACTACAGTGCTTGTGTTACTTGGTATCTCTTACAGATATACACTTCTGTACTTTCATGAACAGGGACCCTTACCATTGTAGCTGATATAAGTAGTATCAGAATGCAACTTTTTAAACTGAAATGCAATCATGGTACCATACCATACATTGACCAAGAATGATTATCTCTCCATGTTATCTTTTTAACCATGGCTCCTGTTAAGTGATACATCTCTGGGAAGCTTTCCCATTCTGCAAATAGTTACTGTTACCTCTGTTACTGTACATTTGTTTAATTAATTGCTCATTTTGTTTCCAGACTGTAGTATTAGCCCAATGTGCTTAAGGTATGCATGAGTGCTTAAAAGGTGACAAGTCTCTGAAGGATGATTCTGTCAGTTTAATTTATTTATATGAGTTAGATACATGATCCCCTATTAATTGCAGCTATTGCTAAGTGTGACTTAATGTAATGTTGTTTCCAGGCCTCTTTTACTGTGCTGATACGAGACCATTAGTGTAATTTAGATCTTAGCATGTGTCATCCTTCAATAATAAAATAATAACATGAAGTCTTAAAAGATGAGTATTTGTCTTAGACACAAGCAAGCTGAAGTTTGGTCTTTAATTAGCCTGAAAGTTGTCTGCAAGAAAAAAATTAAAAACAGTTGAGTTTACGTTTAGTGGAGAACAAGATGTATGACATCAAAACCTGAAACAAAGAAAAAAATTGATGAAAAATTTGTTCATAGAGGATGTTTGGAATGGCATACCCACAAGGATCCACATACATTACAACATTACTAATATTCCTTGTCTCTTGGGGGGGGGAGAATTCTAATTTAGCAATAACTAAGCAAGCATTTGGCTTGTATTATAGGATGACTGTGCAATCTGTAATATCTGAACTCCTTTTTGTAGTTCTGCAAAAAAAAAAAAAAGATCTAATCCATAGTTGGAACTTGTCTTTTGTTTTTTCTTTTTTGCTACCTCAGCTTCATCTCACATTAAAGTGAGTGAAGGATGGTTGAGATTTTTTTTTTTCATCAAACAGCGAAATTCTGTAGGAAGGAAAGGTAACACAGCTAGGAAATCCCCCCCGTTCCTCCTCTTAAGATGCTTTGTGCCTAGGATAGTATGAATATTGACAGTGTTTACCCATTGCATCAAATCATGGTTTGTTAACATACTTTGCATAATAACAATTGGCTCAATTCTCATAATATGCTATTATAAAAGCCACAGCTAAACAAACAATGGTAAGTAGGTTCATATAGCAATCAAAACCATAAGCAAATAAGCCATAGTATGACAGAAATTATCTTTCTCTATCAAAAGGTTTCAAGGTATGTTCTAAGAAAGTAATGCTATTTTTGAATATAAGTTTATGTCTTTGATTTCCACTCTATATCACACTAAGTGATATAGCTAAATAGTTTTATAAATTAGTTATGTGCCATACAGGTGAGTGAACACCTAATGGTTATATGAACATGTATTTGCCATCTTGACTTGCTTTTAATAATAAACAAGTAACTCTTCTAAAAATGTACCTGTAATCCTTTTGAACCTGTCTATCCATCTTACTAGTTATGTTTTCTCAATTATGCCAAGCATATTAATTTTTCTAGTCCAGTCTCTAATATCACAGACCCATGGTATGTTAATTTCTACTTGCTGATCATCACCTCAGTGACACAGTCAGCTTTTATTTGTTTGTAATCTGCTTGATTTTTCTTAAGTTCCCCATATCATTTGTAACCAGATCTGTAATTTCTCGGTATTCCACTTTTTACAGCCATGGAATACCACTGGAAAGGCCAGTACTTTAACAATCCAGATCTTTTCCATCACTGAAATATCTTCATTTTTCCAGCACATCAACTTTTGAACAGTCAAAAACAATGTCTATCATCTTAACTTGTTCTCTGAACAGTGTTAGTTTGCTATTTGGTATTATATTTGGCTTCTTAATATTTAACATTAGTCCAGATTTTTTCACTTTCTATTTTTAGTTTCATAATGAGCTCTTGTAAATTATTTCATCTTCAACTAATGAAGTAATATACAAATCAAACTTGGTATGATTGATTTTGCTCTTGATTCCTGATATCATCTCTTCCCATCGTCCATCCATATAATAATATTTGACATAAGCTCCAATTCAGTGTACATTTTCTTGGGAGTAAATTTTGTTGAGCAACCCCCCCCCAT